CCTGTCTGCGACGTTAAATAATTCCTGAGGAGTTACCGGGATCTCCTTAAATGCCACCTGATCAGCTCCCGGGTGTAAGGCTCATTGCATGCGAGGATAAATAATGTGCAGGGGCTGGCAAGTTCGGCGTTGACTTGGGGCACAGGGGTGGGCCGGATTGCACACCTTTAGACACACTGCTCAACCAGATGCTCAGGGCGTTGACGCAAAGTGACAACTCAAGAAGGACACAGGGAGAGGGGGGATTCCGGTAACTGTTCGTGGTGGCACTAATTAGACAAAACTGCCATCCAGCATACATCTCTGCAGGGAACATTATTTTTATTTTTGATTATTTAGTTGTTACAGACTTGACTAACAACTGACAGACAGCTGCAGATAGAGTAGTATATTCTTTGTTGCATTGCATTCTGTATTAGAGTAATCTAAAAATAGATTTAATATTCCCTGTAGGATCTGACATTGGTTGACACCTAACAACCTAACTGTTTCTGTCCAGGCCGACCGAAGTTAGTTGTGTATCACAATCGGTTGGGTGTCATGCTGAGGTAGGATTCAGTGTGGATTCTAGTTTAGATCACACACACTGTAGCTCATGAGTGATGCAAGCACTAGTGAGGAGTTGTTAGCGGACGACCGTAGGACTACTCGTAGAACTGCTCTCAATCGACCTTTGACTTTCCTAGAGTTAGGTCCAAGAGACGAGAGGAGACTGTGGAGAGAGGCTAGAGAGAGAACAGCGGCGAGAAGAGCGAGGGTGGCTGAGGCCAGTGCCAGGTCTAGGATTACAGCTAGCACCGGTACGACCATGGCTACTTCCTCTACCATGTCGCAGGCCTCTTCACAGGCCACTCCGTCAGGAGTCGGTCAGAGTGGTTCTCAGGCTTCCATTAGCCAGAGTGTTGGCTTGCAAGTCAGCCAGCAGGCTCAACTCACTCCGGAGCTGCATAACTCGCTCCTGTGTGTGGCGGAGACGCAGGTTGTTCAGCGGGAGGTGTTGGCTGAACTAGTGGCAGGCCAGAAACGACTTCTGGCTGCACTACAGGCTCCTCGTCCAGTGATGAGGCAGCCTCAGTTTGCTGTAGCTTCCCCATCGGTTGCGGGTCCATCCATGACGCCGTCGCTGGCTGGGCCCTCATTCTCACCTATGTTTGGCATGCCCCCTCCAGGTGGTTATGTGGCGACTAGTGGTCCGGTCCTTGGAGTCTCTGTCGTACCATCGACAACAGTGGTAACTACAGTCCCATTGTCAAGCCATGCCCAGGTTAGTGTGCAGCAACCTGTTTTGGTGGCTATGCAGCCACTGCAGCAAGCCCCTGAGCCAATGCAGCCTATGTAGTGGATGCCCAAAATACCCTTGCTGAGTCCTAAGCCCTTCTCCGACGAAAGGAAGAAGGATGAGGATTCGGATACCTGGGTAAGGACGGTGCCTACTTATGTGAGGCACAAGCTTACCAAGCCGGAGCAGGAAGTTGTAGTGGCTGCCTCCTTTCTAGAGGGGTCAGCAGCCCGCTGGTTGAATGACCTAGTGCAGCAGCAGGGCTACGGTCAGAACTTCGATGCCTGGGCCCAGGCCCAGACATTGGAAGAGTTCGTACGGTCCGTGTATAACAGGTGGCATGACCCTCAAGGGGCTCAAAAGGCCACCGATGCAATCAACAGTCTTTGTGCCAGAAGGTACAAGAATGTTAGAGAGCTCACGGATATTGTAGAACGTCTGCTCATGGTACCTGGTGTGCGCTATGACCAGCAGGTACTCCTTACGGATTACCTTAGATGTCTTCCTTCAGAGGTTAGGACAAAGCTGGTAGACGAGGCCTACGTCGAACAGCACAACTTCGCTTCCTTCAGCAAGAAGGCCTTAGACATAGAGGCAAAGTTGGGATCTGCGCATCAGAGTCAAGAAGATGGTAGGAAGAAGAGACTACCCCAGGACTGGAAGAAGAAAGGTCAACTAATGTTCGTCGACCACGATGGTCAGGCGACAGAAATTGACGACTTCCCAGACCTTGGGGAGGAGACAAAGCACGATGGGGCCAGTGAGACTTCGGATGGGGGAGTCGTGGCACCCATCAAGGAAAAGGCTAGGGGGACCGGGAAGAAGAAGGTAGGCCAGTCTATAGGTCAAGGCGACCAAGGTACGCCCGCTTGGGTGAAACTTGGTTTAGAGTATGAGGTGTGGAGGGACCGAGTCGTTAGGGGCACGTACATGAACTGTGGCAACTATGGCCACATGTCCCGAACGTGCCGAGGCAAGAAAGTCCTGACGAGGGTAGCCTCCCCAACGGTGGTGGGAATATCTTCGAACCCTGGTGGTGCTTCTACGAGCACTTCGCAGGGAAACACCTTAGGCCAGTAGGAGTTTCAACCGCTCTTACTCGCGCTGAAGTGGTAACGTTGCCTTCCCCACTTCAGGCGTTGGCCAAGGCTAGTGACCCACGTATCGCCCCGCAGACACATTCAGACCCATCAACGCTCTGTTCGATGATCAGTAGAGGTCCAAAGGGTGAACATTTCGTGGTAGAGGTTGATGTAGGTGGCTGCAAAGTTGGCGCCTTCGCAGACATAGGCTCTACACGAAACTTCATCAGTCGTGCGTGTGTGGATAGACTGCGCTTAGGACCAAGTGCAGCGGTAGCAAAACTGTAGCTTCTACGCTAGCCAACAAGCACCAAATGGTAGTTAAAGACTATGCCAAGGACGTAGTTTGTTCCTTCTCTTACGGAGGAGGGGAAGTGAGACATAAAATCCCATTCCTCGTTAGCGACAAACTGCCCTTCGATATGCTACTATGCATGTACTACCTCGAGGTCGCGCAACCTCAGTTTGATTGGGATAGGAAGGTGTTATAACTACTACAAGCAGAATCGTGAGGAGAGCATGTATCTAGTCTTTGTCTCTGAAAAAGGGGAGGTCGTTAAAACACCCCCAGAGATAGAATCAGTGGTCGAGTTGCCAAATGGTAGGACCGTTGGACTGCAAAAGTATAAGGCTAGCAGTCTAGTGGAGAACTACGGCTGCATGTGTGCTACCTCTTTCTATAACAACTACAAGCAGAATCGTGAGGAGGGCATGTATCTAGTCTTTGTCTCTGAAAAAGGGGAGGCCGTTAAAACACCCCCAGAGATAGAATCAGTCGTCGCACAATATTCCGACCTTTTTTAGGAGCCCACAGGCGTGGTAGAAAGGGAGGTGGTCCATGCAATAGAGGTTGTCCCGGGTAGTAAAGTACCTAGAGGACGCATCTATGGGATGTCTCCTGCGGAGTTGGATGAGCTCCGTTGCCAGCTCAAGGAGCTCACAGAAAAGGGATGGATTCGGCCTAGTACCTCCCCTTACGGTGCGCCAGTTCTATTTGTCCCAAAGAAGGGAGGTACCTTGAGGATGTGCATTGACTATAGGGGCCTCGATGCCATCACCGTTAAGAACGCGGAGCGCCCACCCCGCATCGACGACCTCTTGGATAGAGTGCAGGGATGCCGGTACTTCACCAAGATAGATCTGAAGTCCGGATACCATCAAATTGCCATTAGACCAGAGTACCAACACAAAACCGCATTTCAGACCAGGTACGGTTTGTACGAGTTTGTGGTGATGCCCTTTGGCCTATGCAATGCACCTGGTACTTTCCAGCACGCGATGAACAGGATATTTCATGAGTACTTAGACAAGTTTATCGTCGTATACCTCGACGATATTCTTATCTTTAGTAGGACTGCACAGGAGCACGCTGAACACTTGAAAATAGTGCTAGGTCTCCTAAGACAGCACCAGTACAAGGTTAACTTGGAGAAATGCGAGTTTGGTCGCACCAAGATCTTGTACTTGGGTCATGAAATCTCGGCGGATGGATTGAGGCCGGATGATGCTAAGGTGGCCAGCATACGTGACTGGTCCAGACCTCAAACTGTTACTGTGGTCAGATCGTTTTTGGGGATGACGGGCTACTATCGTCCGTTTGTAAAGAACTATAGTACTATAGATTCCCCATTAACAGATCTAAGTCAACTAGACACCCCGTTGGAGTGGACTAAAGAGTGTGAGGCGGCCTTCAGGAAAGTGAAGTATGCTCTGACCCACTATGAGGTTCTTAAACTTCCCGACCCTGATAAGCCATTTGTTGTGACCACAAACGCCAGCCAATATGGTTCAGGCGCGGTCCTTGTGCAAAAGGAGGGGCCCAAGTTGCAACCTATCGAGTACATTAGTAAGAAGATGTCATCTCAGAAACTAGCCAAGTCCACTTTTGAGCGTGAGCTCTATGCCCTGTATAGAGCGCTGGTACATTGGAGACACTATCTCCTTGGTCGATTCTTCTATGTGAGATCTGACCATGAGACCTTGCGCTGGATTAAGACACAACCGGTACTCTCCGATGCACTCAAGCGATGGATACAAGTGATAGACATGTATGACTATCAACTTGATCCAATCAAGGGTGAGTACAACAAAGTACATGATGCACTATTTCGTCGGGCAGATTATCTGGGCGCACTAGTGACTGAATTTGGTATATCCAACGACTTAACTCAATCATTGGTGGAAGCCTATCAGCAAGATCCAGTTATGTCTGAGATCATCCGTAGATTCCAAGCAAAGGACAAAAAGACTTTGGATGAATTTGCGATGGTAGACGGCTTGCTGTTTCTTGAGAAGGCAGGGAATAAAAGATTGTGTGTTCCCAGTAGTGAGTCTTTGCGTAGTTTATTTTTCGGGGAATGTCATGATGCAACTGGTCATTTTGGTTATAAAAAGACTTCAGCTAATCTAGTGCAGAAGTTCTGGTGGCCCACTATGATGCAAGCTGCAAAAAGGTACGTTGAAACCTGCCAGGTTTGCCAAAGGGACAAACCCAGGACTCGGGCTCCGCTTGGGCTCATCAAGCCGTTGCCGATTCCTGAAGGTCCTGGTCAGAGTGTGTCGATGCATTTCATGGATACCCTTGTGACCAGCAGGTCTGGAAAAAGGCACATCTTCGTGATAGTGGACCGCTTTTCTAAGTATGCAAGACTTATCGCTATGCCAGAAACTGCTAAGACTGACTAAGTCATCAAACTGTTTCTGGATAATTAAGACAAGAAGTTCCTGATGGTTTTCGAGTTGCAGAATCCTTATTCCATCACAGTTTATTAGATTTAATTGTTCCTCGTGCTATTCTAAAAGGAGTATTAGGAGAAATATTTGAACTTTATGGACTACCTACGTCGATAGTAAGTGACAGGGATGTGAGGTTTACCAGCGAACTGTGGCAAACGACAGCTGAACAGATGGGTACCAAGCTCCAAATGACGTCATGGAATCACCCTGAGTCCAATGGCCAGGCAGAACAGATGAACCGGGTAGTACAGCACCTGCTTCGACATTATATTAAGCCAAGTCAGGATTACTGGGAAGCGAAGTTACCTCTCGCCGCCAGCCTGTACAACAATGTTGTGCACAGTACTACTAGTACGACTCCCAACCAGCTGCATCTTGGTTGGAAGCCCAGAAGTGCACTTGACTTTCTGCTACCAGAAAGGCCAACCCATTGCAGCACCTGGCAGCATAGAGTTTGTTGTCAAATATGAACAGATGCTGCAGCAGGCCGTTGAACATATTAGGAAGTCTCAGGACGCTATGATCGCATCTGAGAATAAACATAGACGGCCCTCTAACTTTCAGGTAGGTGATAGAGTCTGGGTAAAGTCATCTGAACTGGGTCAGGAGAAGGGGATTTCACGAAAGCTGATGCCACAGTACTTTGGGCCCTGGGAGATCTTAGACATTGTAGGGGATCAACCGGATGGACCTTCATACGTGATTCGCATTCCTCCACACTTGCGTACCTACCCTGTTTTCCATGCATCCAAGCTGGCACCTTTCGCTGCCATAGATCAGTTTCCCTCCAGGAGATCAATGCTGCCCCCAACCATGGATGGCGAAGTGGACATAGACCAGATCATGGAGCATCGTCTGATGCCAGTTCCTCGACCACCGGGCAGAGGCCGCCCTCCTAAGCCAAAAATGCAGTACCGAGTCAGATTCAGACATCATCTGGACCCCAGCGAAGATCGGTGGTTCACCAGAGAAGAACTCATGAGAACTGCACCTCAAGTCATTGCAGGCTACGAAAGAGATCTTAAAGGGAAGATGCCTGCATAATAGAAAACTTCTCAGAGGACTATCGAAGTACGGGAGGAGGGAATGCAAGGATATGGGTCCTCGGCAGGCCTAAGGGGCCCCCTACAGCAAATGTGCCCGCCCTAAGTGAAGGCGGGCCTAACAAATTGCCAGAGGCCCTAAGCTGTCAAATTCATATTTGGGGTCCAGGCATTTTCGTCGCGCCAGTTGGTTGAAGGAAAACACAGGCCGAGCAGTGTGGAA